AATCATCACATCCCCCTTTCAGCCCCGCCTTTTGGCTCCTTTGATTACCATATTCACCCCTCAGATTAAGACCCATCTCTTTTTTGCCCCTCTGGTCCCTCTGGTCCCCTTTCTCACAATACAAATCAGTTTTCCTGGACTGCTTTTTAAAGATTTTACCCGCCTTTCTCAAAACAAATAAAGGCATTCTTTCTTGCGCTGCTGAGATGAGCTGATGTGGATCTGCTTCTGTTTCCATGGATTGCTGTGACAAAAATTTCCAGTTCTCTGTCTTTCCCATCACCTCTGAAAGTGCAGTCTGGAGCTGCAAAAATTGCATATTCAGACAGTTCATAATGTTAGTTTGGATATTCTGAAAGGCATTCATAATTTCTTCTGTTGAGACCATCATTGTTGAAAAGTAGATGGGCAAAATTGCTTTCTAGTCTCTAATTTCAAGATATGCACCTCATTTGAAAAAACACAGCTCGCTTACTTCTTCTCCCGACCAAAGGGCCATAAAGTATTTAAGTAATAAAAGTCACCACCTCCGCAGAGCTAATGATTTATAGTGTCCCAGACTCTGGCTTTCTCCAAATAGTTTCGATTGTAAATCGAGGACAGGGATACGAGGCAAAAGTTTCTGTTTTGTCTCTGTCTTTCTCAATTCGGTTTCTGTTATACAGGCGTGATGCAGCAATAAATTACCGATCCATCTGGGTTAAAGGCTTGTTTGCCGCTTCTAAGATTACTATCTTCTTTGAAATCAACCACTTAAAATTCGTTTGTACTTAGAAAGGTAAAGTTGGAGCTAGTTAATCCTTGTTGAGGCAGTCATTCATAAATCTTCCTGCTTCCCTCCGTGGAGCTTTCACAGCTGGGGCGACATTAAAAAATGGCATCGGCGGGATCCTTGTCTGAAGAAGGAATAACTCAGAGGTGGTTGCTTTCCACCACCACCACCCCCAGAAATCTTCCACTCTCCTACGACGCAGGTGAGTTTCTACTAACTCTCCTGCTCCCCAATTCCTTGGGGAGACTCTGGATCCACGGCACGCAGCAGAAATCTAGAGAGCCTAGATTTCTTGCTGCCTTTGCTGTTTGTAGCTCCGCCCCTCTCCCTGAATTTGGCTTTTTAAAAAAACACTTAGAAACAATAAAATGAAGAACACTCCGTATCACCATATTCAAAACACCATGATCAAATTAAAAACTGGCAAGTTAGTTATTGCTAGCCCTCTGTTCCAAAATACTTAGCAACCATGAAGTCATTGCAGTGTCATCCTACCAAGGTCATCATCTTTGTCACTATACTGAATTTAGTCGCTGGATTCTTGGAGTCTTCTAAAGGAAAATCCCAGTAGGGTAACTTTTGCTTATCTGAGGTCTCCTCGTGTTGTAAGGAACCAGACTGGCCAACCTTATGATTTTCTTGCTCACCTGCAGAAACAACACATACAGTACTTATATTGGAAGACACATATGATCTGCATATTTAGAAATTGGGTATTCACATGTCCTGAAGTGCAACTGTATGAAAAGAAGATGGCGCTCAGGAGCAGAAAGAAACACAGCCCCACTACATATACTATTAATCATCACCTGGCTGTTTTTTTGGGGGGGAGTGTTAATAATAATTTAAAAAAAATTACAAGACTCCAACCTAGAACGTGCCCTTGAATAATCAAGACCTTTCACTGATTTTCTGCAGAAAACTGCCCTTACCCACCTATTATGGACTTTTAGGTGCAAACAGCAACTAAGCAGGGGCTGCCTTTCAACAAAAAAATGGCTGTATGGACCTGATCAAGACCAAAAGCATGATCAAGATTAGGGGCCTATAACTCTTCTTCATCTATAACTGATGCAACCAAATTAAGCAGTCAGGAAGCTATTCCAGCTTTTTTCTTTCTCTTTTTTTGTGGTGAAACGATTTTTTAGAAGTGTTGGGAAAAGACAGAAAGATTAAAAATCAAGATACCATTGTCTGGAATGCACATGCACACAGAGAGAGTGAATCTAGGAATGAGGCAATACATCTGCAATAAAAGTACTCTCAGAAAGCCCTTTGGATCCTGTTCACATACAACAGATACATGGAAATGAAAGAGAGGATTTTATTCAGCCATATTTGATCATGACTAGAAAAATCCTTTATACAATATCATAGACACTTGGGATTCAACAGGCAAAAATGTAGAAGCAATAAATATAGAAGACTACATCCAACCTTCTATTATACCCAGACTTTCCTTGCTGAGGCGGGGTTGACCACTGTCCCTGTCTTGCCAATGGGTAAAGCAGATAATGTCATTATCAATTTCAGAGGGGAAGACCTGTGAGTGTACAAACAACTCCTATGCTAAATATTTTCAACATGCACAAGTATGCTAATAGTCCAGTTCAAGGCAGAAAACAGCAACATTAGCACTTTCAAAGGTTTGAAAAAGGCTATTAGGGTGGTGACTTGATATGTGTTTAGTTCCCTTCTCCACATAACTGATCAGGGTCTATTACATTGCCAGTAAATGGAGAAATCAATTTATGGAAATATTTTCATGAAATTTACTAAAAGGAAACTCCTGACTTCATTTGGGAATTTTTTCTCAGATGTAAAACTGACAGGCACCGATTTAATTCAGTTCACTCCTTGCCTGTGAGAATTAGCATAATGGGCCCTTTGGATATTACACAGTAAATAATAAATTTTGATCACAAAATTTCTACATGATGTGCTACTGGACATTCACTTACTGGACTTAGATGACTTTGGATTTCCTGAGAGAAAATGGTTACATACTGTCTTGTTTCTTAATAAACATGTAATTGTGTGGCAAGGCAGAAGAGGAGTCCAACACAACAAGCTTATTCAAATATTTCAAACCAACACCTATAATAATACTAATGTGTCATTAAATCAATTCTGACTTATTACCATATAAAATTATGTGTGTGTGGGGGGGGGAAATTCACGCCTTCTTCATGGAATTTGAACATGTAGTGCCCCCAATTTACCTTCTGTTAAGGGCAGTGAATCAATGTCAAAGATGCGCCAGTCTTGCTCCCCTTCTTTGCATTCAATATGGAGAATATCACTAAGAGCACCAACAAGCTCCATCACGTTCAAGAAGCCCAGCTTCTTGACTGGCAATGGTTCTTTGAAGTGCACCTAGGTGGAAAGAAAACATTGCAAATCAAAGCTACCACCCCTTGCAATAGTTATGTACATAACCATGGGGAAAAAATCACCTAATACACAGCTATCAGACTTAGCCTGAATGCTAATAAAATCAATTGGACCAAAAGAAGTGGCGGCGGGGTACCTCGCAAGACGATGACCCCACAAAACGACAAATCTGCATGACGAAGAGGTTTTGCGACCGCCATTGCGCTTCGCAAGTGTTTCCTATGGGGGAATTTCGCTATACAACATTTCGGTCCGTGCTTCCGAATACACTTTTTTTCCAGGACCACTGCTTAGCAAGAGGGCGATTCTAACAGATGCTTGGCGGTTCTGCCAAATGGCTTCCCCAGGGTGTTTTCGGCTTCCCTATGGGCTGGGGAAATTGGGTTGCTGTTGTCCCAGTTCAAAGGGTGAACCCCCGCGCGGAGCCTTGGCTTTGCAGACTGGAGGGAAGGTGCTCCTTTGGGGAGGTTTCCACGAAAACGGTCACGTAGCTGGGAAGGAAACTGGGGAGGGGCTCCTGGCTCTTCCAAGGATTCCCCGCTGATCCAGCTTCCCCCTCGTCTGGTGGTTATGTCCTTGTCCGCTTCCCTGCCCTTCCCGCAAAGCTAAGCCAAGCACCCCTTCGAAGCTACCTCCAAGGGCTCCCCAGCACCTTCCTACTTTCCCTGCCCCTCCTCTGACCCCTCCTCTGAAGTCCTCTGACCACCTCCCAGGTGTCCCACCAAGCCACCACTGTTATGGCGCCATACACAAGAGGCAGAAAATGCAATAAACAAACAGGATTTATTTAACTGGAACGAGCTAGGTAACAAGAAGTAACTGGTTCAACAACAAATAATCTTTACAATCCAACAGTTCAATTCACTCTTGCAGCTCTTTGGGTGATGCCATTCCTTGATAATCTAGGACTTGGAAGACGTCCTGAAGATATGCCAGGTAGGGAGCCTCAGAACAAGGGTGACTGATAGCCAAGGTCATGTGCCCCTTGATGATCATATCTCTGTCTTCTCCCTGAGCTGCAGGGTATAAGGTCTTCTCGCAGGTGTCTCAGACCTCTGAGTCGGCCATGGACACCTTCCCTTCCTCTCCTCTCATTCTTGAGTGCTCTTCTGCCTTTCCCTCCCCTCTTTCTCTCCAGAAGGAAGGCCTCCAAGGGGCTCTAGCTTGACATATTCTCTCAGATTCTTTATGCAGCACCTGTAGCTGGACCAGCATCCCAATCCAGGGATCTCCCCTTTCAATCACCTCCCAAGCCTCACTATGTGCCATCATCACTATTCCTCCTGCCTCCACTTGACATGCTTCCCAGTCAGGTTCTTCTTTTGTGTCTTTCCAAGTCTCCTCCTCTTCTCTTGTGCCTCCATACCCCTTTTTATCCCCTTTCTCTTTCCTCCAGGGGTCACTCTTGCTGTTCTATGCCTTGCATATTCTATGCCATATTCTATGCCTTCTCTGCCTTTCTACTGTTTCTCCCTTCCTCTGGCTCTGAACTAACTTGTAGATCCAGGATCTAGAGGTGAACTAGATGTGGGGAATTCTTTCTGGAGTGTCAAAAGGCACCATGGTCCACTGTAGGGAGGCAGGTGTCTTCTTTGCCATCCTCACACGAATATGAACAACAATCTGTGAGGCTAGTTCATAAATAGCCTTAAGCAAAGGAACTGAAATTTGGAAGTTCTACAGAACACAGACTGAAATCCTGTTGCTTAGTGCAGTAAGTTTTAACTAAAGCAGGTCCACTGAAACAGTGGGGATTTAGTAAGTTAACTCCTCTCAGGCTGGGAGTTCAGTTCCCCACTGTGCTTGTCAGGGGCTGGACTCGATGATCAATAAAGTCCCTCCCACTCTGCAGTGCAAAGATCGAAGATACAATCTTAAGGTAGGTCAACTACTGAAAAGAAATCTCTACCATGAGGAAAAGAAAAAAACATCTCTGCTCTCCACCGAAGGAAACAGACAGTAAACATTTTTCTCACAGCAGTTGTTTTTTCATTTTGTGAAATGAAAACTGTGAAGTCCTCTGACCACCTCCCAGGTGTCCCACCAAGCCACCACTGTTATGGCGCCATACACAAGAGGCAGAAAATGCAATAAACAAACAGGATTTATTTAACTGGAATGAGCTAGGTAACAAGAAGTAACTGGTTCAACAACAAATAATCTTTACAATCCAACAGTTCAATTCACTCTTGCAGCTCTTTGGGTGATGCCATTCCTTGATAATCTAGGACTTGGAAGACGTCCTGAAGATATGCCAGGTAGGGAGCCTCAGAACAAGGGTGACTGATAGCCAAGGTCATGTGCCCCTTGATGATCATATCTCTGTCTTCTCCCTGAGCTGCAGGGTATAAGGTCTTCTCGCAGGTGTCTCAGACCTCTGAGTCGGCCATGGACACCTTCCCTTCCTCTCCTCTCATTCTTGAGTGCTCTTCTGCCTTTCCCTCCCCTCTTTCTCTCCAGAAGGAAGGCCTCCAAGGGGCTCTAGCTTGACATATTCTCTCAGATTCTTTATGCAGCACCTGTAGCTGGACCAGCATCCCAATCCAGGGATCTCCCCTTTCAATCACCTCCCAAGCCTCACTATGTGCCATCATCACTATTCCTCCTGCCTCCACTTGACATGCTTCCCAGTCAGGTTCTTCTTTTGTGTCTTTCCAAGTCTCCTCCTCTTCTCTTGTGCCTCCATACCCCTTTTTATCCCCTTTCTCTTTCCTCCAGGGGTCACTCTTGCTGTTCTATGCCTTGCATATTCTATGCCATATTCTATGCCTTCTCTGCCTTTCTACTGTTTCTCCCTTCCTCTGGCTCTGAACTAACTTGTAGATCCAGGATCTAGAGGTGAACTAGATGTGGGGAATTCTTTCTGGAGTGTCAAAAGGCACCATGGTCCACTGTAGGGAGGCAGGTGTCTTCTTTGCCATCCTCACACGAATATGAACAACAATCTGTGAGGCTAGTTCATAAATAGCCTTAAGCAAAGGAACTGAAATTTGGAAGTTCTACAGAACACAGACTGAAATCCTGTTGCTTAGTGCAGTAAGTTTTAACTAAAGCAGGTCCACTGAAACAGTGGGGATTTAGTAAGTTAACTCCTCTCTAAATTCCATTGATTCAATGGGCCTACTCCTAAACAACAGGATTTTAGCCAGAATCAAGTTAAATGGAACCCGTGTTACTCTCCCATATCACACAGAAAAGCAGTCCAAGCAGTCCAACTGGCTCAATTCAAACACCACATTAGACATTAAGAGATTAAGCATGATTTAGCACATAATGATGTTTCAATTTAAAAAATCATCATTTACAATAGGCCAGCAAAATCGAAACTGAACTTTTTCCTGTATTTTTACCTCTACTTACCTGGGCAGGTTCCTCACCCATTATATTTTCACCCACAGCAATCTCTGGGAACTCCTTCTGCAATTGCACCCCTTCCCTTCAGCAACCTCAGAGAGTCGTTTGTTCCCATCATTAATACCTTGAAACACAGCTCTCTGCTTCTACTAGCCTCTGTTCACACTCCATAGCAATGTACTTTGGGTGTCAAAAGGTGTGAAGTGTTTGCTTGTGTCATGAAAAGAGGCCACAGTTCCCCATCAGTGGAACCAGAAGCAATTTTGCTAGGGACTATTTGCCTCCCTCTTTCCATATTCCTCCCCTTGGGATCCCTTATTTGCAGGCATATCCCCACAGCAAGGACACCCTTTTGCTCCCTTTAGCTTCTCAACAGTGTGAAAAAGGTCTGGTGTGCTTTGTGGTTAACGGGGATGAAGGGCGCGTGCTGATATCATTGTTTCAATACTTCATTCATCTGCGCTTCTGGAGGGTTGCCAGGAACAAAACGCAGCTGGCCATCATGGGGCTACCAAGAACACAGAGGGCATCACTGGAAACAATAATTCAATGTGCAGGGAACGTTAATGGGGCACCGAGGTACACTGAGCAAAAGCCAGCCACCCTGAGCCTACCAGCACGGCTTGGTGTACAGTGGTGCCTCGCTAGACGGTTACCCCGCATGATGGTTTTTTCGCTGTACGATGGGTTTTTTGCAATCGCTATAGTGATTGCAAAACCATGTTTACATAGGAAAAAACTGCTTTACAATGACCATTTCCCTGCTTCGGGAACCGGTTTTTCGCTTAACAACGATCAAAACAGCTGATTGTCGGGTCTTCAAAATGGCCGCCCGCTGTGTAAAATGGCTCCCCGCTGTGTTTTGGGATGGATTCCTCGCTATATACAGAGCAGAAAATGGCCGCCCTATGGAGGATCCTCACTGGACACTGAGGTATTTCGCCCATTGGAACGCATTGAATGGTTTTCAATGCATTTCAATTGGCTTTTTTATTTCCCTTGATGAGGATTTCATTCTACAGTGATTTCGCTGGAACGGATTATCCTCGTCAAGCGAGGCACCACTGTAGTAATTTACAATAGGTCAGCAAAACTGAAACTGAATCCACAGGTTTATAAACCAACTTGGAATATTGCCAGAACTGACAAACTAAAATCACGGTTATCATTCTGCCTCAAGAGGCTGATGCACCATAGTGGAGGAAAAAGCTTAAAAACTTGAGTGATGTGGACAAAAGACGACAGAAAAGCAAGGGTATGGTTTGCTCGTTTTACATCTGGAAATTCAGCCTGTGATTTCACACAACGTTTATAACAGAACTACCTCTGCCACAATACTGGTTTAAGGAGAAATATTCCAGCCCCTGAAGAAAAATAAGCAAATACATGCTTGTGTAATGCCACTACTGAAAGGAGAAACCTTACCTCAAATTCACTAGCTAATTTTGAAGCAAGCAATCCTTCTGGATGTTGTGCTAAAATCTGAATTAAAGAAGAGGAACAAATAATTTAGTAAAGTGTTACTCCAAATAGCCAATGAAGAATTTTGTCAACGAAATAAAATCTGGAATTAAAATACCGAGTGTTTCCAAAATGTATTCAAACAAGAATATGTCCCACCAGCTAACAAAAAGATTTGTAATTCTGCCTCAAGCTTATATACTCTGTAACTGGTTACTTTATTATTCCCTAAAGATCACCTTTACAGAGAACTTGTAAGTCTTCTAGAACATAATTCAAGAGTTCAAGTAGAAGGGGACAACAGCTGGGTCTTAAGTTAAATTCAGTCAGGCATTCTTTCTTAGTTTCAAATTCTAATTTTCAGGGCAACCATAAACCACAATTTGCCAATAAAGCCCTAGCATTGCAGGGACAGGAGAAAACACAACAGTCAAAGGGCTCTTCCAGGCTCATGGACACAGCAGCAAAACACGGTTTTGTACAAACCAGTTGTTTATCTTTAAAAGTTAAACTAAACTACTTTCATCCAAATACTTACAGTTCTGATTTTTTCTTTGAGTTCTAAGCTGACTATCCCTCCAGGTCCCTTCTGGGCAAGTGTCATTTTCAACTCTTTCTCTATCTTTGAGGGAGAAAAACCACAAACAGGCAAAAAGTATGGGGAAACATACATTAATTATTTTGTTTCTGAAATTTAAAAACCACACCTCATTAAAAAATACTGCTCAACAAAACTAACAATTAAGATGCTAATAATATAAAACTACAAATAAAAATATATGTGTATGTGTGATTGGGTTCATTAGCAGGCTGCAGCAGTTCCTCTTTTTTGACGGGAAATGACCACTGAGATGCTTTTCAAAGATTAACAGATTGATTTACTTTAACATTTGGCGATTCAACAATAACTTCTACAGGACCAAAACAGCTAATATCAGGCAATTGTCCATAACGTGAAGATGAAAATCCACACTGTAAATGAGGGACGTTTATTGAGGCAATGGTCCAAACTGCTCCCTGTCCGTGGGCTTCCTCAGTGGAGCACTCCACACCACACATACTGTGCTGCAACAAGGATGTCTGGCCCAGTCCCCCTCTTGCGGTGGTTGATTGAAGGTTGGATCCAGTCTGATTACCTTCCTCCAATGACCTTGTCCTCGGGGAAAGACCACCACTGTCCATTCTTGTGTCTCTGTTAGTCTTACTTTCTCCTCGTTTAAATCTGGCTCCGGTAATAATCCTCCTACTTTTAAGTTAGGAAAGGCAATGGAAATCAAAATCTGAATTTCGAGTGGACAGATGGTACAATGAAATATGGAATATAGCTATAAATGATAAGCTAACTTGTAATTTAAAGGTTAAGAAAGGAGAGTTGAAAAAGAATAATTTTTATGATGTATGGGGTAGATTTTTTGAATATGTGTTAACAAGAGGAAAAGGGAAAGCTCCAAATCAAGAATCAATGCAATTTTGGGGAAGAGGACGATAAAAGAAGAAGAACAGATGGGAGAAAAAGAAGATTATTGTGAGAGGTCCTGTCTGTTGTAGTGGGGAATACAGTCAATTCATATTTTGGTCTATGTATATTATGTTTATGTTTATATTATAGTTAATATTTTAAATTTAAAAGGGGGGAAAGGAAAGTCCTCTAACAGCCCACACACTTTCCCATATCTGAGCTCATCATCCTTCGTTTCTCTCTCCCTTCCTTCGTTGTTCCCCTTCTAGGTATACTGAAAACTCTCCTCCTCTCCTGAGCTTTTATATCCTCCTCCCATACCGGTAGAATTAACTCATCCTCCTCCTTTCCCTTTCCCAGATTTCTACTTTGGCCTCTTTCTCCTTTGATTCCTCTTTCTTCCACAATCAAGTCTTCCCTTTCTATTACTACTCTCTCCCTTTTCTCCGACGTCTCTATTCGAGGGGACGGCTCACTCTGTTCTTTTTCTCTCCTTCCTATTTCTCCTTCACAGTATGTTAAACACACTATTAAAACCAGAACAAATTTGAAAAATTAACAAGCAAAGAGTAACACTAGTCAGACCTATCCCAGAAACAAAAAAGAGAAGCCCGCCTGAATCAAGATGCTACTGCCAACCAAAAGACTACAGAGATGGAAATAACCTGGCCTTCCCTATTATATGAAAAGCAGCATTCATTTATTTTAAAACTCTGTATGTCAAAAATCCCATACAAATATTATAACATCTACGTCAGAAGCCTAACTATAAAAGAAGCCCATGAACAATAAGCAATTTTGTCATAAGGTTCGTAAGGTGTTATAGGCGGTCCCGAATTATACGCAGAGGCAGACGGTGTTTGGGTTTCAAAAACACAACGATTTTTATTCATATAGTGCCACAGCACGGATGGCAGGTCCAATCCCCCTCGATTGGTGGCTTGTTGTAGGTGGGATCCGGCCGCACCACCTTCTTCCAAGGACCGCGTCCACTCAGGTACACTACTACCGTCCACTCTGTAGTCTCTCCCAAGGTAACTCCTCCTTTGCTAGTCACCGGGTCCGGCAATAGCCCTTAAACTTTTAAGTTTGGGAGGTCTTTCAGCAAATTGTCTATCTCCTTTGCCTTCGTCTCCTCCTTTTTCTTGCTTCCTGCGTCAACAACTTGAAAATCTGCGCACCAGTTCCCTCTTTCATATGTTCCTCCCAAATGTCTAACTACTGCTCCTCCCTCTTCTCCTTCCCCTCCTCAGACAAACAGACTTCTGTTTTAACTCTTTCCTGGCTATTCTCCCTCTTTGATTCACCTCTTCCTTCTCCTATCCCTTTAGTGTCCTTTCCGTAAAGAGGAGACGGCGCACTCAAATTATCCTGGCTCTCACAAATGTATATACTGTAAAAAAAAAAATAGTGACTGAAATCCTGTAGCAAATTTACACAAATGGGCAACTTTCAAACATGAATTGATGTTAAATTAAGAAGTCTTTGTAGGCATTGTCTGTTGCAAACCAAGTTGTGTGACGCATGATTACAGAGATATCTTGATTTATGGCAATTCACTTCCATGGTTATGTCACGTGTGTAACTGTGCAAGAGGATTTCGACCAGTATAATTTTGACTCATTACATACTTATCACAAATCTAGGGTTGCAACAGAAAGAACCCATCAAACACAGTGTTCTCATTAACAATTTATTTCTCTTCAAGTAACTAACAAGTCACTTAGTCACTCCTGAAAACTCCAGGTGTACAGATTAGTCCTCAATTTAGTGAACAATATACACTTAATAACATATTATTAGTTTTTTTAAAAAACACTGGAGGTGTACTCAGAAGCAAACCTCATAAATTCAAAGAGGCTTACTCTTTAGGTTGCAATTCATTATTATGTTAGTAATGTAAGTACAAATTCTCTTGCTCTGATATGGCAGGAATTGCATTTTTTTTACTGCTTGTGTACAAGCAGAAACCCAGGAGACACTAGTACTCCAATGCTCCTTCTGAACAGGTGGCTCCTCATAATATTAATTAGAATTGCTCTTTTGCTGTAAGCTGCAGAATTGCCCTCCTACACAATCACAATACCGTCTTTCTGAGTGCAACTCCTTTTATGTCCAGTTCACATCAGTAAGCATGACACAACTAGACAGAGATTTGTTTGTTTGTTCAGTCATTTAGTCATGTCCGACTCTTCGTGAGCCCATGGACCAGAGCACGCCAGGCCCTCCTATCTTCCACCGCCTCCCGGAGTTGTGTCAAATTCATGTTGGTTGCTTCGATGACACTGTCCAACCATCTCATCCTCGGTCGTCCCCTTCTCCTCTTGCCTTCACACTTTCCCAACATCAAAGTCTTTTCCAAGGAGTCTTCTCTTCTCATGAGATGGCCAAAGTACTGGAGCCTCAGCTTCAGGATCTGTCCTTCCAATGAGCACTCGGGGTTGATTTCCTTTAGAATTGATAGGTTTGTTCTCTTTGCAGTCCAGGGAACTCTCAAGAGTCTCCTCCAGCACCACAATTCAAAGGCATCAATTCTTCGGCGGTCAGCTTTCTTTATGATCCAGCTCTCACTTCCATACAACACTACAGGAAAAACCATAGCTTTGACTATTCGGACTTTTGTTGGCAAGGTGATGTCTCTGCTTTTTAAGATGCTGTCAAGGTTTGTCATTCCTTTCCTCCCAAGAAGCAGGCGTCTTTTAATTTCGGGGCTGCTGTCTCCATCTGCAGTGATCATGGAGCCCAAGAAAGTAAAATCTGTCACTGCCTCCATATCTTCCCCTTCTATTTCCCAGGAGGTGATGGGACCAGTGGCCACGATCTTAGTTTTTTTGATGTTGAGTTTCAGACCGTTTTTTGCACTCTCCTCTTTCACTCTCATTACAAGGTTCTTTAATTCCTCCTCACTTTCTGCCATCAGAGTGGTATCATCTGCATATCGGAGGTTGTCGATATTTCTTAGGCAATCTTGATTCCGGCTTGGGATTCCTCCAGTCCAGCCTTCCGCATGATGTATTCTGCATACAAGTTAAATAAGC